GTTTGTGTGCATCAACTGGGGTTGATTCACGAAGTAACACTAGACGCGCTTTGTTAGTGGTTGCCGTTATGTACCCATCGACTGCAGTTCTGATGTTGCCAAGGCCGCCTTCTAACACGAACTGAACACGCTGCTTTGCAGTGTTATCAGTGCAGAGATAGTTGTTGTAGCTTGGGATAGAAATGCGCAAGTAGGTCATCTGGACTCTTCAGATGCCAAGTATGGACTTAACTAAGATCGTAAGGACAATGGTGAGCGTGTAGCAACTGTGCGCAGTGCATCGGCGGCTTCTTAGTAGCACCGCATAGTGGGCGTGAAGTGCCACTTGACATCCCCCTATGGCTGGTTAGCGATGGAAAAAATCGATAAGAGTACCGCAAGTGAAAGATGGTGTGGTTCTACCCTGGATTGCCGATCGTGCTAGAATACGTGCGTCAACTCTGAACATGCTTTGATACTTTGCCGTAAGGAGCACCCAGTATCTCTATCGTTTGACAATTGAGAAGTTTTCCCAGTTCTCGGTCAGGTAAGCATAATAGGGTGCTCTGCATATTGTATTTTCATCCTCTCGTTCTTAAAACATCAAATTTTTGGAATTTGATCTCAGTAACTATGCACGATGCGGGAGCCATTAGTTACGGCACTATAAGTCGCCAGCACTTATGCGAGAGGTCTGTAAACCTATGGAAATGTAGAAGAAAACTCCCTTCTGAATTTCAGTCCAATCTAGCCAGACGGAAGATCAAGCGACAGTTGAAACTAAGCCTGTGTGCTGACATGGAACCTTGTCAGACCAAAAGGGCTGAATAAATGGATGATGCAGGAGCCGCGGGTAATTATCACATACTCTTCCAACTTATCCGCACAACTGGCCCCAAGAGACCAAGCGTCAGTGATAGAGAGACAGCGCGGGAACCCTTATTCACAAGAAGGAGCGTCGTATGGCTCATAGGGCGGAGCACTTTCGTGATCAGGAGGGTTGACACCCATCTCCTAGGCCTCTTCCTACTCAGGAAGTGTAGTCTGAGCCATGGCCCACAACTCCAGCTGAGACTGGAGTCAGAAACGCGAGCACAGCCCTTAATCCTTTTCAAGCGGCTGGTCTGGATTATTTTGAACCCGCACTGTGTAAGGGTAGTGGAAAGCATTGACCTCACTGTCCAAACACGTCTGGAATAAAGAGACCATCCCAATTAAAGTGAATCGATTATAGTGGCAATATACAAAAACGGCAGTCACATCGACTGTGCTAACCATAGTGGTATGGATCTGATATCAGTGGTGACAAAATTACTAGCCTGAATTCTCGCTAGTGGACTCACTGCGACTAAATTTTACGTGCTCTTGTCTTATCTTGCCTTCACGGGCGCCAGTAAAACAGAAAAGTGACATCCAGGAACTTAAAGGTGAGGAAGATCAGACTGATTTCTCAATGACTACTGCACCCTGTGAAGATCTGGACAATAATGGAGCTGCTCTAGTCGATTGAGTCAGCTCCGTGCTCCCACAGGTTCGGTAGCAACTCGCGTACATCACTCATAAAAGCAGATCCCCAAATTCGAAGATCCAGAGCTCCAGTGTTCTAAATAAACTGCAGAGGTCCGATCTCATATACGACTTTGACGTGAGGGAGAGAATAGAAAGGGACGACTTAGGGCGAAGGGCGATCCCTAGGTTGCAGCGAATATGGTAGTTCCGGTAAATGAACTCATAAGTAATACCAATTCGTCCTTACGGATTTCACAAAATGCTATGTCGATTCATAGCTGCCGTAACCGGGAAGTCCTGACGCCGGAAGGCCAACCGCTGTCATCCGCATGGCAGATGCCTGCATGGCAGTGGAGGATGGGTCGGGCTATATCGCATTTAGCTAACAATTCGTGATGGTCGGATACTGTCCTCCATGGCGCAGTTGCATAATCTGCGGGCTAGTTGGCAAGAGCCACTAGCAGTCATGGGTTCGATCCTCCGCAGAGGACCGAAGGATGCGCACCACTGATGAGCCCCAATAGGGCGAAACGGCCGTCTGGTGCTTTTCCGAATAGCTGGTCGACATATCTGAATTGTCGGCTGATTGCGACGAACAAAAAACATACTTTTTACAATACCTATCGCAAGGAAACGACCCAGGGAGAAGAGCGATCAATGGCCGAAGAGAAGCTGGTAACTAGCTGATTAAACTGCTTCCCAAAGTGTGCGGACCAAAGATCAAAGTGTGTTGGTATACTGTGGATAGGCCGTCCTCTCTTGTCGCGTATGGGTTCGCAAGCACCTGGTCTCCAGATACCCGTTTCCTTTATCCGACGAAAATAATTTCCGATTTTTATCAAGGTCAAGGACCGGTTCCCTCTCTGACGCATGATGCGATCTCCGACCTTGGCAGTCTTATTTCAGGCAAGCAGGTAGTTTTGCCCCGAGATCTTTGTGAGTCTGCTTGCCTTTGTTCTCAACCGAAATATGTAGGTGAGCATCAAGTTCGGGATATTGCGTAGAAATCCAGTGTCTAGGTTAGCAATCAAATCTACCCGATGAAAATATTCACGCTGCTAACAAGATTCGGTGAACATGCGAACAGTGACCTACAGATGTGTTCAGTGAGAGCCTAGTCAACGCAAACACCAGCGCTCTTTAACACATAATCAAAACATCTGGCTTCGTCTCTTGGCAAATAGCTATGCGTTCACAGTGTCGTCGCCAGTGTCCGCCGAAATGCAACCGTAGATCAGCCTATACAAGTGCATGGTCGGAATCCACGCTCGTGTTCCGAAACGAGTGACAGTACTGACACATCCTCTTCACCACTAACTGATCGCGATGTAATCGATTTGCGTCCATGGCTGGTGACCGCCATGTCATCTTCAGGCGGGTGCTGTGTTGGAGTCAGTGTTGGCGAGAAATAGACGAACATCTTCACACAGGTGTAGCAATAGCTTACCAGCATCATTACGAGAACCGCACTGACAGACGAGATGCGACTCAGCATTAAACAAGTTTTAACCTGAGTTTTCTGATCACCAGCCAGTAATGCAGTATTCGTAGTTAAGCTGTGGCAAAAGAGCTCATTCTTCATCATCATTACACATCAGCAGAGGATGAGAAACACTGCAACTAATGCGCCGCAATATAAAAGACAACTGAAAAAAATTTTGCTCACTACAGAATACAAAATATTATGAAGCTTAGCATCCTATTGCACATCAAGTTTGAGAATGTGGCTGGAGGTGGGAAAACAAAGAGACTCATAACACAAAAACGGCTGAGGCCAGCTCTTCGCCATGTCAATAAATGTATCTAAATAAACGTACCAATCGTACGTCGGACACTAGCACGGCAGAGGGGAGACACAAACCTACACAAACTCCAAAATGAGGGACTTGATACTTCCTAACCAAGCCATCGCCTGGCCTCCGCTTCTGTTCTTCCATCCACAGGCGGTCGCCCAAATAACGCAAGTCTTGGGTGTCAGTGTGTCGGTATGCGCAACACGTGGCCTAACTCTCGGAACCTGGTGCACGGTTAATGGGTGACAGAAGACATCTTTCACCGAGTAAACACTACAGTTTGTGGTGGCGTAGACGGCAATGTAGCTCAGGCACCTGTTGATCGCACGCGATTTTTTAGCTTTGAAAGAGACAACTAATCGGAAGGTGCATATCCGTTTATTGATCGGGATCCAGTCAACCAGAGTAGCTGCGGTCCGGGGGCTCTAATCAATACCCATACCGGCTTGACCGGCATTTCAAGATGCTTTATCTCCAAATAGACGCGGTAAAAAAGTATCGCCAATGGTGCAAGAAAGGGATCGCAGGGTGGATACGCAGCTCGGGTCCCGCAGGCAGACTTCTGATAAACAGCAGTTATCGATCGATAGGGTCACTAGTGCTCGAGTAAGTGCTGCCTGTTGACTGATATGTAAAAAACGCGCACGCTGAGACATGCCAGTCTTATCAAGGATTAAGGGCTTCAAGGAAAAGCAGATGAAATCAGCTTGCCCATTTGGTTGAACATGTACTTGTTGATTAAACCGCAGCGACATCCTGCAATTGAGTGAGCGGAAACTAGAAGACAAACGCGTACTGAAGTAATGCAGGGACTGCTAAGAAGTGGGGGTTTGAAAACAGGACGGATAAAAGTGAAGTCGGAACGGAATGATAAGAATGAAGGAGCGCAAGAGGAGGAGTATGAAAACGAGAAGGTCTGAGGAGCAGCATTCTCACCCCTGTCCACTCTAGTCGATGGAACAGCGACTGCAAGAGCGTCGATGAATTGTTTGGGGGGATCATTGTATTGCGTGGACTGCTAGTATGTCTAGGCATAAACAGCAGAACGATCAGGATCTCCCACTAAAGTTTTTGGTTCAAAAATCTGGCCGCAACGGAGCAGGAGTATGGCGGCTGTCTGAGGGAGTTCGTTTTATGGAATTAGGAATCGCCTAAACTCCAACCAAGAACCAAGATACTGAGTTTGTCTAGACTCTAACGATTGAGCAATCTGGTATGAGTGCCTAAATGTGAAATAAGGACAACCAAGCACAGCCCAATAGATTGTTGTAGGCAAACCATCGCAGCACTGCAAGATCTAGCCTCACTGCGATGGTTCGTAGCTTGATGAACAAGAACTGATATCACGCAACTGGGGAGAAAGCAACATGAAACATGCTGATCAACAAGTTAATACGTTCAATCAGATTTCAGTAGCTTTAGGAAAATTCAATATATTAGGGTGCGGACATCCGGAAATAAATATTAATAAGCACTACTACTAGCGCTAACATACAAGTAGCGGCACAGGCTCCTGGCGGCATGCCATTCAACATATATCCAACAATATAAATTTATATTTGCATTACTGCAAACAGCCACATGACGAATGGACCTACGTGGGAGACTCGCAGTACTACATTCTTCGTTCTAAACAAGTACTGAACCTAACATAGCCGGAATGATCTAGTAAACAGCAACCCGAAGTTAATATTGCGATAAGTGCAAAGCTACACTCACGCAGTTTCCAGGCCTTCATCAGAGCGCTAAAAAAGCAGTCCGGCAGACGAATTAAAATGAGAAGGATCCTTCTTGATGGCGTAGTAAGTATCCGGACGGGTATTCCGAGAACTTCCGTTTCCAATGTGTACGTGGGTCGCAATAGACCGGAGCTGAAAGGCAAAACAGATACTACGTAGGCGGCCGGGCTGTTACATCACAACCATCTGATACGGTTGAGCCTGACTAGCTGAAGGTAAGTGGGACTGAAATCCCGTGGGTGTTCTTTAGTAAGCTCGTCGCTGAATCGGGGATAGCCAGAATGTTCCGATTTCCTGGCGAGCTGGATACCGTTGTCACAGCTGCAAATGCAGGACTGAGCCCGAGTTGAATGCATGAAGCGAACACGCAGCCACATGACTGCTCAAACAATACTGGAAGCGAAATATGAAGCTAAGAGGAGTAATTACAATACCTTGGTAGGCGAAATTCGGAGACCAGTTGGCTGGTTACAAAGAAGGACCAGCTTTGGAAAGGCATAAACGGGGGTGGTGTAGCTCAGCATGCAAGCCGTAATTGATGTGATATATTGATGAGGAAGATTTGACTAGATTTAGACGCTTTCAGCAAAGGTATGTAATTTATACATAATGTAACCCATAAGTTTGTTTATTATTTTTGCGGATAGCGAGCTCCCGTGCTTTTTATTCTCTAAACTTTTCATCAAAGTAGTGAGCGGCGGAAAGGGAAATAATGACATCCAAGTGCTTGGACTGCGGCAAAGTTGCAGGGCAGTGCAATCAGTGTGAAGGATGACTGCATATAACCCGCTGGTCTCTAGGAATGCTTAAAACCGACTGATTCGTTGGTTATTACTCCTCGCTGTGACCGCTGTAGAGCTGTGGTGAACAATAAGCCTATCTTGGCTAGAGTGACCCCACCAACATTGCGACCCTGCTCAAAACATGTGACCTTTCAGCCTGGTAGCATATTCTCGACCACACGTCTGTCGTTATCTACAATTGGGTTTGTTAATCCGGTATAAAATCGAAGTCCAGTCTCCACTACACCGGAGGGGACATTAGTACAAGATAGAGACTGCAAAGAACAGAAGGTTGCAACAACAACTAAAACAAAACCGAAGACCTATGCGGCTGCGGCGAGCCTGGAGGATACAGAAATATCTGGGGCGAAATTAGGTTTAAGGTCTAAAGCGAAATCAAGCGATACCTAAACGAAACTGAAGCTCATAATAGATAAACTTAGGCAACTAAAGAAACTTAGCTAAGAAAAAACGGTTTCACAAAAGCCGGGGGTCATAGTAGGATATAAAGACTTTATGACTATTCCTTAATAATCACTAATGCTTCCGAAGCCGACAGACTTCAGATGAAAGGATTCTCGACGATCAAGAATTTTGGAAGCGAATGGTATCCCTCAAATTCGATAAAGGTGAGTGGGATACTAACACCGTTTCTGCTTTTCGACTTGGTAGGTGATAAGACGATCTATCCACGACCCGCCTCCTAAACGTCGTCTGTCAGGATGATGATCATCATCATCAACAGCAGTACATCAACCCTATACGAACATAAAGGGTCAAGGTGCCTACACATTGACAACAGTCACAAACAGGTGGCTATCGTGCAAAGACAAGGTGGCATCGGCGAGAAAGCCTCTATAGAGATTTCACTACTCCGGGTCATAATCAGTCATTGCCCGGCAGACAACTCAGCATATTTTAAGCACAGTCCAATTAAGATAAGACACCAGACGCACCATTTATGCCGATCTCGAACCATGTCCTGAAACATTTAGAGCCTAGTACAGAGCACGCCACGTGGGCTCCATGCTGGAAGACGAGACGTACCAACGGCACCCGTTGCCAAGTTAACTTTTGTCAACCTCGAGCATTGCGCCATCCTACATTTGGCATACAAAACAAGGTCCTCCTCGGTAAGCTATGACCGGGCATACGAGGTCCGTACCCAAGCCAACGCAACTTATTCGTTGCTATCTGTTGTTCTAAGGAACTAGACTGATTACCACTGTTCAGCACTCGCCTTTGCACACCATCTTTGCGGATACTGCTGCCATCCGACAACAGCAATGCTCCGCAGACAATGACGATCAGACATGAGGGTGCGTCAGAGACAAGGGGTTATCTCGCTACCATAGAATAGGACGGTCCTCACTGTGGCCTTGTAAACACGGCCTTACAGATTAAGGAAATCACGTTGTGACGCCACAGATATCGCAGATTCAATAAGGCTGTTCTAAATTTTGCAATACATGAAATGACTTCAGTTTCTATGCCCCATCATTACTGATGCAGCTGCCAAGGTAAGTGAGTTTATCAACTACTTCGTGTTCCTCACTATCAACGGATTATCAAGTGGCTTGTGGTTCTGCAATAACACACAATTTGAAGGTGCGAAGCGCATGCCGAATGATGAAACCACTCTAGAGATTATTCATGGTTGATTTGGCTGCTCCAACATCGAAGCATTTCAAAACCTGCAAGGGAACACGCCATGGTGGAGTTCATGATGAAGGTGAACAAAAAATGGGGAAACTGGGCAACCCTGACGAATGCCACGTTGTCGGGAAGATATCTGCAAGTCGTTGTAGACTTTGATGCGGCGTGGTGTTCGAGTACAGGGCACGTAAAATGGATCGACCGACTGAGTCGAACGCACCCTTGACGTCAAGGAACACAGGTAGTGTCGGTCTGCGGTATCCGTGGCGCTGCTCCAGCATCTGCCGTGAAGTAAATGGATGATCTCTACAGCCCCGTGCTGTGCGGAAACCCGCCTGCCCTTCCATAGTCCGGGACTCCAGTTCCGCTGTGAAGCGACGAACAATAATCGAGGCTAGTAATTTGCCACAACTGGAGTTAGGCTTATACCCGTGGTTATCAAAGTCGGTGCGACTGCTCGTTTGGTATATTACCATTATAATCGACTTACTCCAAATAGCTTGGAGGGTCTCTTCATTCCAGAAATGTTCGGACAGTGAGGTCAATGCTTTGTAGAAGGACCTAGAACCATCCTTAAATGGTGCATGTGCGAGGGAATCCGGGCCAACAGCCCGAAAACGATTGATGGCTGTGATCGAGTTTCGGACCAAAGACTCTGACGGAGTCCCTAAACTAGCCGTCAATGGCTCAGCCTGCATCACAAGAGTAGGAAAAGGTCCGGAAGCAGGGGGACAAATGAATTGCCCCGTTTAATGAACCATGCGGCGCTCCTTCTTGTAAATCAGCGTACCCGCGCCATCTCACTGACGCTTGGTCTTCTGGGGCCGGTGGTGCAGATCAGCTGAAAGAAAAGTTGATAATTACCCGCGGCTCCTGCATCATCCATTCATTCAGCCCTTTTGGTTTGACAGGCTTCCATGTCAGCACGCAGACCCTGCTTTAGTTATCGCCTAATAGTCCGTCTTATCACATTGGGCTCAGAGCCAGCCGAGAGTTTTCTTCTGGATTCCAACAGGTTCACCGACCTCTCAGATATCCCGTGATTAGTGCCCTGACGACTGATAGTAACACAAGCAATTGCTCTTGCGTCGTGCATGGCGGCCGAGATCTTATTCCACTGAAGTTCAGAGTCATTAGGACAAGAGAACGCAAGTTTGGTGCGCAGAGCATCTTGGTAGGCTTACCCGACCGAAGACTGAGATAGCTTCCCAGTTGCCAATCGAAGGAGACGCTTGGCACGCTATCAATTAAGGTTCATGGTAAACGACAACGTACTAAGGCATGATCAGAGTTGACGTACGTATTCCAGAAGGAGCGACAATCCATGATTGAAACACCCTACCTGTAGCTTACGGTAACGTAATCTACTTCAGTCTACCATTGGCAACTTACAGGGGGACGCCAAGTGGCACCTCAGCGCCCACTGTGTCTAAAAGCAGTGCTCCGCGGACAGCTGAAACAGACGCTTACCGTTGTCCGTCTGGTCAGAGTTAATTACATCTAGCTGAGATCTACATCTAGATGAGATTCTGAAGAGCCCAGACGAGCAATTTGCGCGTCCACTTTCCACGCAACAGGAACGATCCCTGCACTGGCAACACTGCGTAGTAGCATGTTCAGTCCATGTTAGATGTCCTTGAAAGCATCAGAACTGCAGTCGAAGGGGTCATAAACGGCAACCACCAAGGAAGAGCGTCTAGTGTTGCTTTGTGAATCAACACCAGTTTATGTCGTCAGACGAGTTGCACTCAAAAAGTTGCTCAGTGGAATCCAATCAAATAACCAAATAATCAAAGCAACTGGAGATGAGACCGATGTTCACCCCAGCTTGATCAGTGTTTGCCGCATCAACGTCTCCGGATGTGTGCAACCAATAGCGAGGGAACAAACAAAGTGCACTTAATTAAACGACTACGTAAGGGTCAATGGTCCTAGTACTGGACACAACACACTACAACACCAAGGGTGTCCAACGTGCGCGAGAGTGAAGCCTGTTGACCTATTTGTCTTAGAGTGTGAAAGTTGGACACTAGAAGGAAAACGGAACAGCGTGGCTTTATAAGTGGTTGTTGCCTATAGGCCTCCAGTGAGAACTTTAGGAAGGTACCTGCAGATAGCATGACCCCAATTACATTGCAGCTGCAGTTAACTAAGCTGGAAATTCTGGGGAGTAGGTAAGTAATGGGGATCGGGAGAAGAGTAAGAGAAACAGAGAGAAAAAAGGGAAGCGCCAGCAGCAGCATATTTTCGGCTATGCACCCCGTTGTGTGCAGTAAATGAGGCGACAATCGTAAAGTTGCGCAAAGACCGATACAGGATGTGGTTGAAGTTTGAGGAAATAGTCATTCTTGTACGTAGGTTAAGATAGTACTAGGGTGCCCAGACCTAGACATGATGACGATAAGGGTTTTTAACCAAAGTCTTTGACTTAAAAGCTTGACCACCAGGCAATGGGAAGATGGTAGCAATCCCGTTTTACAGTAATGGACTCCATTCTGTATCCATCCTCGAATCTGGAGGACCAGGAAACTGGGTTCATGTGACCTCTAACCATTGACCAA